CGGCCCAAGAGCCGTCCAAGACGGCCAAAGAGGGCCCCAAAACGGCTCCAAGAGGGGCCCCAAAGAGGGACCACGAACGGAAAATGCGAAACTTCCGCCACCAGCACCACCACCAACCACCCCCCACCCCTCCCGAGAGGCCCCCAGGAGGCCCCCAGGAGGCCCCAAGAGGCCCCCAAGAGGCCCCGAAGAAGCCTGCAAGCAGCCCCTAGAAGCCCCCAAGAGGCCCAAAAGAGGCCGCAAGACGCCCCGTGGAGCCTCCCAACAGGCCCCCAAGATGCTCCCAAGAGACCCCACCCCCGTCGTCGTCGTCGTCGCCGTCGTTGTGGCCGCCGTCGCCGTCGCTGTCGCCGTCGCCGTCGCCGTCGTCGTCGTCGCCCTTCAGGGTCGGCGGCACCGGCCGTACACAGGGCTCATTTCTTGGAGGTTAATTTCTTGTTGGCTCATTTCTTATTTTCCTTCGTTTTCGCACCGCACATGCCTCACAGTGCGTGCACACCAACCTGTGAACGTCTGCGCGGAGCAGCGTCGATGCCACCGCCTCCCCGCACATGCCCGCACATAGTCCACGCCCCCGGGGTCGCATGTCAAGAAGACCACGCCATGTCCGCACATGGCCGCACAGGCGATACATCCGCAGAAACAAAACACAACTTTTGGCCGAGTCCACCCGCACACCAATCAGGAATTTGGCTGGCGCTGGAACGGCGCAATGTAAACACTCACGGACGTGGCCAACACGCAGGCCGCAGCACCAGTCCGTGACAAGGATGTGGCCAACGACGGGGCGACAACACCCTTCTCAAGCAGGGATGTGGCCAGCTTTCGAGCGGCAGCACCTACAGTTAGGGACATGGGCTGGTGTGAGGCGAAAGGAACACTGCGAATTCGGGGTGCGGCCAGCGCGCAGGCGACAACACCAGTCCCATACACATGGGGATATGGCCAACGCTCGGGCAGATAAGTAAGAGTTCGGAGGATGTCTCAATCGGAATGGGCGGGAACACTTCGAGAATCGCATCTTGGAACCTATAGTTGCGAGGATGCCTCAAGCGTAACAAGCTAGAGCATCTCCATAATCGCATCGTGGAGCCCAGACTCGCGAGGATGTCTGGAGCGACATGGGCCGGGACAAATCACCTCAAGTCAATGAATCTTGAAGTCCAGAGTTGCGAGGGTGCCTCACTCGGCATGTCCAGAGTTACGATGGTGTCTCACGCGAAGCGGGCGGGAGCACTTCGAGAACAGATTGGAACCCAGAATCGCGAAGACGTCGCAGGCGAAATAGGCCAGATCGTCTCAAGTCACAGCCATATATATATATATATATATATATATATATATATATATAGCATTTCTGAGCCCAGTTCCGAGGATGTCTCGGGCGGAGCGGGCCCGATCCCGACCATCGAAGTCCTCCCTCCCCCCTCCCCCCCTCCCTTTCCTCCTCCCTCTCTCCTCCCTCTCCCTCCTCTCCTCCTCCTCCTCCTCCTCCTCCTCTCTCCTCCTCCTCTTCCTCCTCTTCCTCTGGCCAAGCCGGGCCGAGCTGAGCCGGGCCGGGCCGGGCCAGCCCGCCGGCCGGCGGGCGGAGCGTGGGCGGCGGCGGTAGCGGCGGCGACGATGACCACGACGATGACGGCGACGCCAATGACGACGACGACGACGACGACGACGACGACGACGACGACGACGACGACGACGACGACGACGACGACGACGGCGACGGCGGCGGCGGCGGCAGAACCCATGTTTCCATCGAAAGGGTGAGCTAATCGAGCACTCGGCTTCAGGGGGCGCCCCCGTCGTCGTCGACGTCGCCGTCGGCAGCGGCGGCGTCGGCGTCGGAATCGGCGTCGGCGTCGGGGTCGGCGCCGGCGTCGTCGTTGTCGTCATCGTCCGTCCTCCCCCATCCTCCTCCAGCTGCTCCTCCTACTGATCCTCCTCCGCCTTCTCCCCCTCCTCGTCCTCCTCCTCCCCCTTTTTGTCGTCCTCCTCTTCCTTTTCGCCCTCCCCCTCGTCGTCGTCGCCCTCCTCCCCCAGCGCGGCGGTGGGAGGAAAAGACTGCGCAGCGGGAGGAGGGAGCAGGAAATGGGCCGCGGGGACCATTTTAAAGTCCGCACATGCCCAGAACATGCCAGGCACATGCCAGCACAGTATTTGCACAGCTCACGTCGGCCAATCGTGCATCTCCGGGGTGGAAAAGGACGACGGGGGAGGATGGATCAAGGCGGGGCGGGACGGGGGGAGGATGAGAGGACGATGGAATAAGAGAGGCAATGGGAAACGAGGACGGGACACAATCCCTCTTCGCACTGGCATGCGCGCGTGCCCTCGCGCTCCGCACAGGCTGCTGGGGGAGGAGGAGGAAGAGGAAGAGGAAGAGGAGGAGGAGGAGGCGGAGCGTCCAGAAAGGTCCCTTGGTCAATCTACCCTTGGCCTCTCTCACGCCGCTCGCTCGAGCGCCGCCATTCGCCCATCGGCAGGTCGGTGGCGAGGCGAGCAGCACGGGCGATGAGGAGAGAGGAAGGCGGGTCGGGCGCAGCCGAGCCTGGGGCCCGTCGCTTCGCGTGCAGCAAGCGGTGGAAATGATATAGAATGACAATCTGACGCAGGCGCACCAGAGAGCACTCCGACAGAGCAAGACGGTCAGAGAGGGAAGCAGGGAGGGAGAGACGGGAGACCATCGCAACATTCCAAAGAAAGCGACGGCATTCAATATAGTGAGATAGGCTATCTCGGGCGCATTCGCACCCGAGCAGGCAGCCCTGGTCGACATTCCTTAATCTTGCATCAGTGACCCACCCCCCCGTCCACGTGCGGATGGCGGCCATCCGCCAAGAGGGGGGGGCCTTGGCAAGCATTGAATTAATGGCATCCCAGTCGAATGACGCTGAGGCCTCGAGAGAGATCGAGAACCATTTGACGAGGCGGAGACGCAGGCAAGCGATAAGAGAACGAGGAGGGGAGGAAGGGGCACGAGGGGGGGGCAGATAAATAGCAGGACGGATACCTCTCAAGAGAGCTCGCTGCATTTTGAGTCTGGGGCCACCCCTGCCAGCAGCGCCAGATCGTTCTACCCTCTGCGGCGTAGATCGTTCTCGCGCAGCACGCCGCTCGGCCTCAAGGGCCGCCAGCCCTTCGAGGGCCGCCCTACGGTCCCGCCCCAGCGACGGCCGAGCTTCCGCCGCCTCCCGCAGAGACCACGCCACCGCCGGCTCCCGCCAGAAGGAGGGCCAGTGGCAGAGCTCCTGGGCTCCGATAGGGCCGCGCCAGTGCAGCTGGCCAACTTGGGCATGCTCCCACGCAGCGGCTTCAAGGAGGCCGCACATCCTGGACCAGCACTTTTTAAAAGACAGGGCAGTCCTCATCCTAGCGGCGAGAGCGTTGCTTCGGATACCCTGGACCCGAAGACCACCGAGGGAGTCGAGGTCGAGGAAGCAGGAGGCAGAGAGCCAGGATCCAGGAGCCCGAAACACACGAGTCAGCAGATCTTTCTCTCGCCGCTGGAGGGACCGAGGGATCTCATATAGTTGCGACTTGTAAGAGAGCACACTGAGCGCTCGTTCTTGGTAGAGCGAGATATTGGCATCAGTGTCGGCGTGGGACCGTGCCAGGGCGGCAACGCGGTGCTCCAGCTTCGCTGCTGGTGCTGCCCACTGCTCTTCATTCTCTGCAGTTGGGCCCTCCGTACAGCCGAGGTACTCAAGCGTAGGGCCAACCTTGAATTCGGCCCAAGGTGCACACACGGAGGCTAGCATCTCGGACGTCGGAGCACTGAGATCGTCCGACCACGGTGCCCAAAGAGGGGTGGCACAGCATTTCGAGGGCTTTAAAGCGAGCCCTGCCAGTCTGTCCGAGTTCTTGAAAATCCTAGCGAGCTCCCTTAGGCCAGCCTTTCCCCACACCACCGCCCCCACGTCGTCCGCGCACCACCTCCCGACTCCCTTGCCAGCGGCCTCGAGGGCGCGCTCCATGTCCGCGCAAAACGGATGAGCCGCTAGGACGAACAGACTGCCAGAAAGAGGGTCGCCCTGGAGGACGCCAGCAAGGATGAGGAAGAGGAGGCCACGGGAGCAGTCGGAGCTAACGGCGGCAGCCATAAGGTAGTTGGCGCGGATCGCATTCACCAGGGCCTCAGGGGCACCCCATTGGGACAGGACCTCCCAGAGCCACGAGTGGGCCACCGAGGGGAAAGCACGAGCATAATCAAAGGCAAGAAGCAGAGGCGAGGCAAATTCAGGTGGTGGGTGATTAAGAGCACGCATGCTTGCGATTCTCGCGTGACTGTCGAGCTCAATTAAATTTTCGAGAAAGTGACGATCACAAATGAATCCGCGCTGGCTGGGCGCCACTGCCGCTTGCACCGCTCTCTTCAGAGGGTGGTTCAGGGCGGCGCTGATCGCCTAGGCCCCCGTATTGCGCAGCGACAGCGGGCGCGCGCAGCCAGGGGCACGCGAGGCGCTCGCCATGTCGGCCGCCAGCGAGCCCTTCGGGAGGAAGATGCTGACCGCGCGGTTGTAGTCCGAGCGCATGGGCAGGCCATCCAGCGTCCACACCAAGGCGCGGTGGAGAGCCTCAGCGCCGCCATCGGCCACAGCCCAAGCCGCGGCTGGGAGGCCGTCAGGGCCAGGGGCCGCAGGGCGCGCACGGCGGAGAGCCTCCCGCACTGTCGCCACTGCAGGCGGGCAGAAGGCGCCCCAGTCGACCGCGGGGACCCCGAAGCGCTTCAGGTAGGCTGGCTGCTCTCGGCCCTCCGTTTGGAGATTGCGGGCGGCGTTGGCGGACAGAATACCTTGCCCCAGTGCTGGCCCAGCGCCGCGTTTATGTCGGCGGCTTCGGTCAGCTCGGTGCCTTGCGTCTCCAGGCACGCGAGGTATCGCCGAGCGTTGAAGGAGGCCCATAGTCGCGCCCGTCGCCTTAGAGCCCGCTGCTGAGCCACGAGTTGGCGCCGTCGGCATTCAGCGGTCTCCTGCTGGGCTGCCTCCTCAAGGGCGCGGCGCCTGCTCGCAGCATCCTGCCTCTGGGCGATGTTGTATCTCCTCTGGAACTCCGCATAGTCGAGGATCTCAACCGAACGGGACTGCGCCGAGGCTTTGACCAGCTCACGAGCCCAGGCGTTCTGCGCCACCACCAGCTGCGCCAGCTTCCAGTCTTGGCGCCAGAACGCCCTGGCCAGTTGGCGCCAGATGATGGCTGAGGCCCCCTTGGCCCAGCCTTCGGCCACGAGGATCTCATTCTGGACGCCCTTGGCCGCTGCCTGCAGGATCCGCGTGAAGTACTTGCACTCGTCGGGTGGCTCTTGGCTCTGCAGAGGGACCATCGCCAGGTACCCGTCAACGATCTCCTTGAAGCGCGGTCGCTGGATCACGGCGAGGGGGATGGCCGCAGGCGTGTCAGGGTGTCGGTGTCCAGGCGTCCTCCGCATCAGCGATGCTGCGACCAAGGAGTGATCGCTAATCCCTCTGATGTGCATCTCGCGCGCTTCGCCTCGGACTTGACATGTCTGCCAGCCTTGGCATAGCTGCCACCTCGGGACCCCCGCGAACACGCGGTCGATGGAGGAACTGGTGCGCGTGCTGGCGTTCCAGTGCGTTGGCTTGCCTGGCATCATCTCCGTGGCCTCCCGCAGCGCCCCCAGCCACTGCCGCTGGCCAGGGTGGCGGGCCATGCGCGCGGTCTGGCCAGGGGCGGGGGCCGCATGTGCGCGGCCGCCACCGCCGCTGCTGGGCTGCGCGACTTGCGCCTGCTGGGGCTGGTCGTCATCCAGGAAGTTGTCTGTCTCGTCATAGTCGCAGAAGTTGAAGTCACCCACGATGAAGGTGGAGCGGGTGGCAGGGCATTGGTGTGCCCAAGCCAGATCCTGTCGAAGGCGTTGGGCGACGCGTCGCCGTTGTTCAGGTGAAATATCGTGGTTGTGGATGTCCCAGTGGATGAAGCTGCACGGCTGACTCCCCATAGCCGCGGGGCGAACTTCGCCACAGAGCCTGAGAAGGCGGCCAGGGACCACTTCCCCAGGGACAAAATCGCAGGCGTAGCCATCAGCAGTTGCTGGCACCACCGTGGCCACACCTCCTGCATCTTCTCGACCTCCTGTCATGCACGAGGCAAAGCAGCAGAACGGTCTCCCCAGTCGCTCCAAGAATACCTGCATGCTATGTACGGAAGCATGCGTCCTCTGCAGCGCCAGCAACATTGGCCCCTTCCAATGTCGCTGAATATATGCAAGCTTCTTCTTGATCTTCACGGTGGCATTCTTCCCAGACTGCTTTAGCGCCCGACAGTTCCAGGTCCCCAGGTGCGCACCATCTCCGTCACCTCCCCATGCACGCGATACAGTGTCAAAGAGTCCACTGCTGCGCCTCTGGCTCCAGGACACGATCCACCACCGCCTGCAGGGCTTCCTGTGTCTGGCCGATCGCGCGCACCGCCACCATGTTCCACGAGACCGTCGGCGTGGCACCAGGTGACGCAATGGAGAGCTTGAGCAGCTGGCGCCATTTGACCGTGATGGCATTGGCTTCCTTGTCTGCGAAGAGTCGTGCTTCGATCGTCTCTTGGAGGGCGGCCTTGATACGCTTGAGGTAGATCTCGTGTGAGATCTGGGACTGGTTGCGGTCACGGCCCACGTTGAGGGGGACGCTTGGACCATTCGGCAGCACTGCAGCGAACTCCCTCCACGTAGATGGGCCTGTGCGTAGGAGGCCCACGAGCTCTCCCACGCGCCTCGTGGCCAGGCCCACAGCACCCACACAGCGGAGCTTGAAATGTCTCCCCATCTCCTCTCCCTCCAGCCTTGTCGCCTCAGGGGTGAGGTTGTGCAGCTCGGCGTCCACCAGGAGCTGCTGCAGCGCACGCGCGACCGCCTCCTTCGGAACGTTCGAACGCGCCACGATGGACAGGATGGTGGGGTCGATGGGCCTGGACCAGCCCGTCTCCAGCATCGGGGCCTGCGGGGTGGCCGACGCCACGACTCCCATCTCTGTGCGGAGGTCGGCCATCTCTTGCCGAAGGCGGCCGAAGTCTGCCATCCGCTGCTCCATACATCCCAGGCGTGAGTCCACAGCAGCGAAGCGGGCGTCGATGGCCTGGGCGAACTCCTGCTGGGTGGACTGGAAGATCTGCGAGAGGTTGTTGGTGGTGGACTGGATCTGGGATCCGAGACGGCGCTCCATGTTGGCCAGCATGCTGGAGAGGTTCGCCGAGCCAGCGGCGGCGGCATTAGCTCCTCCTGCTGCAGGCGGTGGGCCGAAGCGTTGTGCGGCCGCTGCCGCCCATGCGTCCTGCTCGCCATGCTGCGGTGGCTGCTGCGATGCGAAGGTCGGCATGAGCTCGAGCGCCCCAACGTCGCCCTCGGAGAGCACCGTGCCACGCGGAGCTCCCGCAGCAGCTCCTCCCTCCACATAGCCTCCAGCTCGGCTTCCTTGGGTAGCGTGCGGCGGGGCGGGGGGCACCACATCCCAGCCAGAAAGGCGGGCGTCGTGCTGACGACGCTGGCGTGGCGTGGCCTCCTCACTGGCGGCGGTTTGCTGTCGTCGTTCCCTGCGACGTTCACCACGGCGGCGATGCTCGCTGCGGGAGGTGCTCCTGCTGCCCACAGTGTCGGGCGAGGAGCTGCTGGTCTGCCTGCCACCACCGTTGCCGCCAGCACCGCCATCGCCCACCTGCATGCCGTCCCGCGCTGGGCCCATGGCTTCGAAATGCCTCCGTTTACCCCTCGGCCCGAGCGCAGGAGCGTTGGCCCAGAGAGGACGCCAGACTTCAGGAAGTCTTGCCTGCCGCGGACTAGCGGTATCCGCTTTGTTCCCAGGGGAAACCTGCATCTTGAGCCAAAATGGCTACGGAAGAGGAGGAGGAGGAGGAGGAGAAGGAGGTGGAGGAAGAGGATGCGGAAAACGAAGAGGACGAGGACGATGACAGGACAGGACACGACATCCGCATAAGGGTGTCAACGTCAACACACCTTGACTGGTGCCTTACGCGCTTCTGCAAAATCCCCTGCGATTTGGTTGTGCGACGGCCCTGACTTCTCATTCGGGCTGGCAGGGGGCATGCCTCGAAGCTTCAAGGGGTGAGCTCCGAGGTGGCCCCGTGACAGAGGCTCGCTACTTAGTGAATGCGAATCCCTGCGGGTCAATGCGGGGGGGGAAGCTGCTGGCCCTTCCGCGAGCCCACGAAACGGGCAAGACCACCTCGCGACCTGCGTCTAAAGTACGAGCCACGATTTGCCATGATGGTTCTAGCGAACCGGGCTGAACCACCTCACGAACAGGGCACATCGGATCCCAAAGTTGCGAGGGTATCCCAGCCGAAATCGGCCAGAACCTCTCGCGCACAGCATCTCAGAATCCAGCCGACGCCGCCCAATCGGAGTCAAGACTCCATAATAGACTTGCTGAGGGTGGGAAGCGCGGGAGAGCTGGAAGGGAACGAAGAACTGGAAGAGGCGGGAGGGCTGGGCGGGACGGGGGATCCAGGAAGGAAGCGTGCGGTGGGAAACACGCCTGGGCTGAGAGAGACGGGAGGCAGGGCTGGGAGGGATGGGGTCCCTCGGAAGGACGGGAGGGTTCCGAACGGTCGCCGCCAAGTGGCCGAAATCACCTGGGCAGCACGGCGGCGTGCAAACCGAGTGCGGCCGTCCGCTGTTGGGTGCGCGCGGGCGGCGGGGTGGCTCGAGGCCATGTGCGGCCTGCCGTGCGGGCATGTGCGGGCGCGCGTGGCCATATGCCCCCTTGCGCCAGAACGTTGGCATGTGCGGGCGTGTGCGGCCGCTCGCTATGGGGTGTGCGGCTATGTGCGGGGAGCAGCGGGGGTGCACGGAGGCATGTGCGGCCTGCTGTGTGGCCTGCTGTGCGGCCTGCTGTGCGGGCATGTGCGGCCGCGCGCGGCCATGAATCCCCTCGCGCAACGAGCGTTGGCATGTGCGGGCATGTGCGGCCGCTCGCTATGGAGCATGCGGCCATGTGCGGGGGGAGAGATGGTGCAGGAAGGCATGGCGCCTAGTGCCTTGCCCAAGCGTCGTCCATATTGCACAAAGACATCCGCGCACACCACGCACATGGACGCACAGTAGCAGACAAGCTCACACGGCGAACACCAAATGGATTCTTCGGTGAAAAACTCAGAGCACATGCCCCCGCACATGCCCGCACATACGCGCCCGTGACTTGATCATTGCTCGCCGACGGCTGGAACGCTCGCACATGCGGGACACATGCCGCGCACATGGCCGCACAACGAGCGCACATGCCAAGCCAAAAACGCCTGCACATGCCCCGGAACAGGCAGCGACAAGTGAACCCAGTGTAAGGTCTTCGCAATATTTTGCCACTCTCAGGAGGTGATCTGCAGATTTCTGTACAGTGGTGCTCGGAGGTTTCCAGATGGAGTAGGGGGAGGAGCTGGGGGGGGCAGGGGATTGAGAGGAGGGGGATCATTGAGAGGAGGGGGATGGATGTGGGAGGAGCAGGGAGAGGAGGCTACGTCAAGCCAGGTGCACTCGCGCCTCATCTGACATCCTTTCCCTTCTCCCATCCCTCAGCCATGGTGCTTATGTTTCTCTATCCGTGGACGCGTGTCGTAGCCGACCTGCGACTCACACTGAAAGACCACTGCGTAAAATGCGCAATCGAAGAAAGGGGAGCTGCGTGAACAAGAAGAGGTGTCGGGTGATCAGGAGGGTGAGCGAGAGGAAAGCACTGAGGACGCACAGCAGCAGCAGGAACTAAAGCGGAAGGATGAGAAATGAGGGGGACGACAACGATGAAGAGAGACTCGGACCCAGAAAAGATCTGAACAGTGGCCCGCGCTGGTGACAGAACGCCACACCAGAAACAAGTGAATTGTAAAACAACTTGGGGAAACAAGTGTTTGAAATCCTGTGTAAATCAGCACGCGGACGGGACGGGAAATCTTCCAGACAACTTCAGTGGAGGAGGGAGAGCAGAATTCACACTGTTTAATTGTAGTTGGGGGGATGTTCGGCATGAAACGAGCGGGTCCTCTGGGAAACGACTCCTGGACCCGAGACTTCCCCCAGGACCAGCTCTCCCTTCTCAGCAGTTGTTTGACTGTCCAAGGCGCGTGCAGAGCCCGGGGAGCCCCAAACAACGGGGAAGAGGCATGAGGACCCGCTTCCCCAAGGACCGCTTGCCCCACGGCGAGATGCTGGGGAGGAGGAAGCACCTGAACCAGTCGCCCGCGTTCTTGAAGGGATGGTACGACGCCTTCTCGCCGTCCCAGCACGTGGCGCCGGTCGAGGGGCCCGCGGCGGACCCCTCGCCCTCGTGGGGGTTGGCAGGAAGAGGATGGCCCTGCCAGCCTTGCGTCGTTCTCGTTCTCTCGCCTCCCTTTCTGCTCCGCGAGGGGGGCCTCACGGAAGATGTTGGACACCGCTCTGAAGTTCTCGTCGTTTCTTCGAGGCTGTCTCGCCTCGGGATGCGCTCCAGCAGCTACGCCTCGCCGATGGCGCTATGGCGATGCCAGGATCCCCCGAGCTACGGCCCAAATTCACAGCAGTCCCGCCTTAATGCTCGCGGCGGTGCCGCCACCTCGCCGCTGGAGGGCAAGGACTGGGGATGGGGAGGTGAAGGGACGGCCGCAGCTAGTTCTGCCGACGCGTTGCTCACTGGCAGGTTAGAAGTCCGGCGGGGTGGCTAGCAAAACTCTCAAATGGGGCGACCGCCGGGAATGGCAGGAAAGACGAGGGCATCGGGCAGACCCGCCTCTCTCACCACTTCGAGAAAGCGCCCGCTGCAGCAGGTCTTGTGTGAATCTCGGCGTTTCAGAGGGATGGCTCGGGCCTTGCAGACGTCGTCGCCGCTGATGCTAATGTCGCCAATGCCAGGGACCATGATGACCTGGAAAGGCAGGACGGGATTGCGGGTGGAGAAAAGGAAAGGGGAAAAGAATGGAGCAGGCGGGCTCTCGCTGTGAGGTGCGCGAAGGGGTCGATGACGGGACACACTCAACCATGACTCAGGGTTCAGTCTCCACGCCCTGTCCCCCCGATGGGATGAATCCCAAGTTGCACCCGCACCTGCGCCCGCCCACCTCGCCGATGGCGGGGGGGGGGCAGACGCCCGCTAGCCTGGAGTCCAGGGAAGCGCCGGTATCACCTGGAAGCTCGGATGGCACTCCACTGCCGGTGGTGCCAATGGTGCTGACGGTGCTGTTGCTGCTCCGGCTACTGGTGGTGGTGGTGCTGCTACTCCTCCTACTGCTACCCCGCGGCTTCTGCGACTAGCCACCTCTACTGGGCCTACGATTCTTGCCGCGATTCGTGCTGTTCTTAATGCCAGTTTGTGATTAACAGAAGGCCAACCCCCCTCCCTCCGGGGGGTGATGAATCGGCCCCACGAGGCGCGATACTTTTTTCAAATCACGCGCGCCAGGGGGAAGGAGGAGAGAGGAGGGGGAGGGGGGAGAAGGAGAAGGAGGACGACGAGGAAGAGGAGGAGGAGATGGAGGAGGAGAGGGAGGAGGAGGAGAGGGAGGAGGCATGGCCGCTTTCGGCGCCAGGAGGCGCTGGGAAAATCGGCGATGTGAGCTGCTCGGCAAATCCCCCTTTGCTGCGCCCCACTTTCGTCCAGCCCGCCTTGCCCGCAGGCCCGCATCGGTTCGACAGAAAGAGGGGCGCCCTGGCTCGCTCTTGCCTCCGAACGCCCCCACCTTGCCCCTCGTTGGCGGGCGGGTGTCGGCGCTGATCACCAGCGCCGCCCCGTTGATTTTCAATCTGGCGGGCGCCACCCCGCGATTCGCCTGAGCGGGGGAACTATTTGTTTAAACACGCCCCCACACGGATTTGTTAACCACAAGCTGACATTACGAACAGCACGGCCTGCCTCTACACTTATACATGCTTCCTCTGTGCGAGCTAAAACAAATACGGCTACTACTCATGCTACTGCTACCGCTGCTACCACCACCCCCACAACATTACCCCTGCCACTACGACAGCTACGAATCTACTCTTGCGATTACTACTCTAGTGTTGCTGCTGCGCTTCTGGCTGTTGTAACAGGCCCGTATGACTGACACCGCCACGACGCCCATGGCCCAGGGGGGGGCAAGAGCAAACGCTACGGCGCGCCCTCGGCGTGGCCTTCGGAGGGCTCCTTTTGCTCTGCTGCCCCATCGTGCTGCTGCGACCACGAGGGAGGAGGAGAAGGCTGAGGAAAAGCCAGAGGGGAAGGAGGAGAAGGACAGGAGACGATGAGAAGAAAAAACCGAGCAACAGCAGAAGCGCTGGAGGGTGGAGCGAGAAAACAGCAAGAGCATCGGGAGCGTCCAAGAGGGGGTCGTCCAAGAGAGGGGTTCGCAAATCATGGCCCGAGGGACGTGCGCAGACCAGGGGGGGCCAGGGGACGTATTGAAACAAGAAGACGCGCCATGAGATCTGGAGCGATATCGTGGCCCCAACCATGATATCCCACTCCAGTCATCACCCCCTCTAGGCCGCCCCCGAGATAACGGAAAGAGCGAGGTACGAGTGATGACGTTCTGGTGTGGGCGAAGCCCTAAAGGGAGGGGTTCCAGGGGAGGGGGGGTCGCGTGCGCATATGGGTGTTAATGGCCGTTTGGGTGGTTTTCCCTACGGTTTTTGCATGTTTTTCGGGAAGATGGCCCAAGAGCGCTCCAAGAGAGCCCAAGACCGCCCAAGACCGCCCCAAGAGGCCCCCAAGAGGCCCCCAAGAGGCGCCCGAGGGGCGTCCCAAGAGGGCCCCAAGATGCCAACATCATTGATTTTCTAAAAAGGAAAACGTATATGTTTAGCATATGCGGCTTTGTCGGCTTTCACGGCGTTGACGACGCTTCAAGAAGCCCCCAAGACCGCCCCAAGACGGCCCAAGAGGCTCCCAAGAGGCCCCCAAAACGGCCCAAGAGGGCCCCAAGACGGCCCCAGAGGCGCTCAAGACGGCCCAAGAGGGCGCCAAGACGGCCCCAAGAGGGGGACCACGAACGGAAAAGTCTAGCCTTTCGCCCCAAGACGCTCCCGGGAGGTCCCCAGAGCCCCCCAGGAAGCCCCAAGAGGCCCCCAAGAGGCGTCCCACGAGGCCACCAGGAGGCGAAAATCATTGATCTTCCATAGGAAAACGTACATTTTTAGCATCTGCGGCTTTGTCGGCTTCCACGGCGTTGACGACGGCCCAAGAGGCCCCCAAGACCGCCCCAAGACGGCCCAAGAGGCTCCCAAGAGGCCCCCAAAACGGCCCAAGAGGGCGCCAAGACGGCACCAGAGGCGCCCAAGACGGCCCAAGAGGGCGCCAAGACGGCCCCAAGAGGGGGACCACGAACCGAAAAGTCTAGCCTTTCGCCCCAAGACGCTCCCAGGAGGCCCCCCCAGCCCCCCAAGAAGCCCCAAGAGGCCCCCAAGAGGTTCCCAAGAGGCCTCCAAAAGGGCCCGACAAGGGCCCCAATAGGACTCCCAAGAAGGCCCAGAGACGCCAAATAGAGAGCGATCCGTACCGCAAAAAGCTCTTCACACCAAGGCTCCCAAGAGCGAACGGTGACGTAAACAAGCTGATAAGACCAAGGCTCCCAGCAGAGAGCGGTGACGTAACAAGTTCCTGACACCAAGGCCCAGCCAAGGCTCAGGAACGGGCGGCAACGCAACAATCTCTGAACACCAAGGCTCCCAAGAGCGAGGGGTGACGTAACAAGCTCTCAACGCCAAGGCTCCCAATACGAACGGTGGTGTGAATAATTTCGGTTTCTGTTTCTGAAGCGCTCTTTCCGTTTCCGTGCCTGGCCAGGTAACGGAACGAGCGAGGTACGAGTGATGACGTTCTGGTGTGGGCGAGGCCCTAAAGGGAGGGGTTCCAGGGGAGGGGCGAAGCGTGTGGACCTGCGTGTTCATGGCCGTTTTCGGGTTTTCCCTCTGGTGTTTGCATGTGTTTCGGGTTCCCCCCCCAAGACGGCCCAAGAGCGCTCCAAGAGAGCCCAAGACCGCCCAAGACGGCCCCAAGAGGCCCCCAAGAGGCACCCAAGAGGCCCAAGGGGCGTCCCAAGGTGCCCCAAGATGCCAACATCACTGATTCTCCAAAAGAAAACGTATATTTTTAGCATATGCGCTTTGTCGGCTTTCACTGCGTTGACGGCGCTTCAAGAGGCCCCCAAGACCGCCCCAAGACGGCCCAAGAGGCACCCAAGAGGCCCCCCAAAACGACCCAAGAGGGCGCCAAAACAGCCCCAGAGGCGCCCAAGACGGCCCAAGAGGGCCCCAAGACGGCCCCAAGAGGGGGACTACGAACCGAAAAGTCTAGCCTTTCGCCCCAAGAAGCTCCCAGGAGGCCCCAGAGCACCCCAAGAAGCCCCAAGAGGCCCCCAAGAGGTTCCCAAGAGGCCTCCAAAGGGCCCGACAATGGCCCCAATAGGACTCCCAAGAAATCCCAGAGACGCCAAATAGAGAGCGAGCGGTAACGCAAATACCCTGGCGACGTAACCAACCCCTGCGCAACACGGGGCATGAATAGCTTGGGAGACGTTATACGGAGGTGGTGACGTGACATGGGCGCATATACTTCTGCAAGCGGCATTCGTGAGGCTCGCAACCCCCCAAGGATTGCGATGTCCCGCTCAGATCTGCCTGGTGCCTCGCTCCGCTGGACCCACCAGCATACCTCGAAAGTGGCGACAATTTCGCATATCGCAACCCCCCAAGGACGGCGAAATCCCGCTCGGATCCGCGCGGTGCCTCACTCCGCAGGACCCACCAGCAGTCCTCGAAAAAAGCGACATGTTCGCAGATCGCAGCCCCCCAGGGACGGCGAGGTCCCGCTCAGGCCCGCGCGGTGCCTCATTCCGCAGGACCCACCAGCAGCCCTCGAAAATGGCGACGCGTCGCGTATCGCAGGCCCCCCCCAAGGACGGCGAGGTCCCGCTCAGGTCCGCGCGGTGCTTCACCCCGCAGGGCCCAACCAACAGCCTTCGAGAGCGGCGACGGTTTCGCAGATCGCAGCCCCCCAATGACGGCGAGGTCCCGCTCAGGTCCGCGCGGTGCCTTACTCCGCAGGACCCACCAGCAACCCTCGAGAGTGGCGACAAATTCGCAGATCGCAGCCCCCCAAGGACGGCGAGGTCCCGCTCAGGCCCGCGCGGTGCCTCACTCCGCAGGACCCACCAGCAGCCCTCGAAAGTGGCGACATTTTCGCAGACCGCAGCCCCCCAAGGACGGCGATGTCCCGCTCAAGCCCGCGCGGTGCCTCATTACGCAGGAACCACCAACAGCCTTCGAGAGCGGCGACGGTTTCGCAGATCGCAGCCCCCCAATGACGGCGAGGTCCCGCTCAGGTCCGCGCGGTGCCTTACTCCGCAGGGCCCACCAGCAACCCTCGAGAGTGGCGACAAATTCGCAGATCGCAGCCCCCCAAGGACGGCGAGGTCCCGCTCAGGCCCGCGCGGTGCCTCACACCGCAGGACCCACCAGCAGCCCTCGAAAGTGGCGACATTTTCGCAGACCGCAGCCCCCCAAGGACGGCGATGTCCCGCTCAAGCCCGCGCGGTGCCTCATTACGCAGGAACCACCAGCAGCCCTCGAAAGTGGCGACAACTTCGCAGATCGCAGCCCCCCAATGACGGCGAGGTCCCGCTCAGGTCCGCGCGGTGCCTCACCCCGCAGGGCCCACCAGCAGCCCTCGAAAGTGGCGACAATTTCGCAGATCGCAGCCCCCCAGGGGCGGCGATGTACCGCTCAGGTCCGCGCGGTGCCTCACCCCGCAGGACCCACCAGCAGCCCTCGAACGTGGCGATAATTTCGCAGATCGAAACCCCCCAAGGACGGCGAGGTCCCGCTCGGGTCCGCGCGGTGCCTCACCCCGCAGGACCCACCAACAACCATCGAAAATGGCGACCGTTTCGC